GTGTGTGTGTGTGTGTGTGTGTGTGTGTGTGTGTGTGTGTGTGTGTGCAGGCTCCTATCTTCAACTGGAAACGGATGCCGTCTAATTATATTACCGGAGAAACATATTGTGTGTGTGTGTGTGTGCGAGAGAGTTTACATGTGGATGTGTGTCTTGCTGACTGATAGAGGGAACCTCCCGCAATCAATACTCGGCGGATTACTCACAAATCTGCAGATAATCCAGAAACTACATTTCACACACAGAGAGCTCTTTTATCAGATATTCATCAGCCTGAGAAGGCGTAGTGCGTGTTCACGCCTTGATGGCATCAGAAATAAGAGGATTTAGGAGCAATTACACCTGCTCAACGCCCAGACTCTCTTAAGGATTCACTTCTCGTGGATTCATCGTTAAATTCGGAAACTCAGCCGTTCCTCATCGCCCGACGGTAGCCTGCACCAGTGGACGCTGCAGAGCTGTGACAAAAGCGTGCTGGCAAGGACTCAGTGGAGACAGATGGCCTCTACCGTCCCTACTGTCCCTTTACACATGTGTGGGACTCCGGTCTTAACAATTTGGCCACTTCGACATGCTGAGATGGATTTTTTTATGCATGCAGCTGTACTTATGCACGTGGGAAAAAAATGTCCACATGTTGGTACGAATACTTTGTGGAGAGTCATGAACTTGGAATTGAAGCCATCTGTCAGGTTCAACACATACACATGATGAATAAAGCTGTTATCATGGGACATATGTGGCGTCTGAAAGCAATGTGTCATCATGCAGATGGTGTTTGGTTTCAGATGAAATGTTATTGACAAGTCTGTTTTAGTTTTTTTTTTACTTTTTAAAAAAAAAACTTCATTTTACAGACCTCAAAAACCAGCAGGTGAAAAAAATAATAGTAATAATAATTTAGTAAGTAGTGAATTCATATACATAGATATATGCATACATAATACCTCGTGTCCTTGTATTGTATTTTGTTGCTATATGGACTCATAAAGTTGACTATAATATGTTGCTTCAACAACCAGCGACCTTTTAGCCAGAAGACCTTCTTTGTTCCTCTAGAAGTCAATGGAGGTTTTTGTCAACCTGCGTACTTCATTAACAGCATTTCCGTGGTTATTTTAAACCGAATGACGATCTATTCCTAAACCTAACCAAGTCGTTTTGTTGACAAATACAGTTTCCTGTTATGACGGACATTTCTTTTTTTTAAGGAAATTGACAAGAGTTGCTGGACTTTGTAGGAAAACACACGAAAAATGGAGGTGCAACTTTTCGTAAGTTATCGTACGAACTGTTGTGTGAGGATACGTTGATTCAAGTGGTTACGATGTTGGCAGTTTTCAGGAAAAGCACCACCCTCCCTACACAAACCTGTGTGAGTACGAGCACGTCCTCGGCACAGTAACCTGTACGAGTCATTCCTTCAAGACAAAATTAATTCATTCTGCAAACCTTGCTGTTCATTCAGCAAGGAATTGATGTTTTCTGTTTGTTTGTTGGAAGGATTACAGAAAGACTTCTGGCCCTGTATCCATGAGACCTGGTGTCAGGGTGCAGCATGAGCTTCTCCCAGATGACGACACGGATCAGATTTATTTTTCCACTTATGCAAACAGCTCTACACTCCTTGAGCGTCCTTCTAGTTGCCTTTAAAAACACAGCCAGAGGTTACGGCCCAAGATTTCCTCCTGAATATCTTCTGAAACAGAACCCGTTGAAGGATTAAAGAGTGTGAATACTGCTCGAGGTGACACTGTGCAGGACTGCTGTGCAATTCTTTCTTCTTTTTTTTTAATCAAATCATGGTTCAAAAACCACCACAGATCAATGAAGGACTCATCCGTGTGGAAACATTGGCCGACCGTTTGGTGTTAGCTCAGTTGAAGGGTTTTTTGGGCGCCCTCTGTGCACCCTGGCAGCGGCCACGTCCTTTCATAATCCTCGAAAAAAGCGCCAACACATAAATGTCAGGACGCCGTCCTAACTGGAGAGATGTGAGGAGTCGTCAGACTGATCCAAATGTCACCGAGATTATTCGGGGAGCAATCAGCATCACTGCATACTAATCAATTCATTTTAAGCTTCTGTGACTCAACCGTTTTATGTAACACTCTTTTATGTTTATACTGAGGCACATATTTTACTAAGAAACACGTTTTTTAGTTTAAAGGGGTTTAAAGAGCAGCACAATCACTTCACGTCAGAGTCACAATTTGCATTCATTATCATGTTAATAAAGGGCTTTGGCACCGTGGCCTCCACCTCACACAAAATCCAGAAAACCGCGTCCCTCAATGGGATATTCTGAGCCTCAAAATATATTGATAGCAACAAAATGCTGCTCAGATATGGATCTGGTAAACAGGTTACAAAAGAGACCCCCGTCATCACCAGTCTTACCTGCTTCCCTGGAGAGCTGCATGAAGGCGTCCACGCCCTTCTCTCCATAGCTGCCCTCCGAGGCCACGGTGGACACGTAGTTCCAGCCCATGGCCTTGACGATGTCCACCATCGCCTGGGCCTGGAAGCTGTCCGGTGGGACCACCCGAGAGAAGAAGTCGTACCGCCGGTCGTCACTCAGCTCCGGGGCCGTGGATGCATAGCTGATCTGAGGGATCTGGAGACAGAGGGGGGGGGTTGAGGAGTTAGGATGGTGGAAGCACAGTTAATCAGTGTGATCCTGCGAGGGATCTGGAAAGACAATCGTGCTCTAAATAATTCTGCATTCATGTGGAATCAGGCGGTCAACACTTTCTTGACTGCACGAAAACATAAACGAAGAGTCCGATGACATACTGATGCAGGGATGACGTATATGTGCAGGCCAACGGGAGGTTAGCATAACACTGGTTCTCTCCTCCAAAAAGCCGATATGATTTTAACATTGAATAACAGATTATTGCAGAAAATAACCTTCGGAAAACCAACGTTTATGATACTGAGACGTTTTGTTCCTCAAGATTAATTTCTGGAGCGTGAATGTAATTGCAAAAGTACGGAGCTAACAGCCTATAAAGGAGCTCCACCACGGTCACATGACTTCATGTTACCCCCACTGAGCTAAAGGAGGACTAGTGTTCTAGTGATGCATTTAGTGGTCTCATTTAGACTCTTGTTAGTAACTGCCTTTTATAAGACACGTAGAAGCTCCTACGCTTCACCAGAGGGTTGTTTACTGACCTGTTGTATGTTTTTTTTAAATCTATTTATCTTGTCTTAACCACAGACCTTATTTCAGGCGTCTAACAGAGAACACGTTCTAAAAACTGCTGACTTCGAGACTAGGGAACAGGAAGTGAAAAAATGCTGACTCATTGTTTTAGGGCTCATCTCTGAAGCGCTCTATCGCAGAACTGCAAAACAAACCATGCTTGATATGTTGCTATGATGATGAAATAAAATATGTGGAATGGAATGAAACTATTTTATGTATGCATTCTAGTAATGCATGCAGCCATCAATTGCAGCTTTCTATTGATATTCTATTGCAAACTTCAGGTAGTTAAATTCTGTCGCGGAGGACGTAAATATGTTAACTTTGGATTGCGATGCCGTCTACCGTTACCGGTGTCTCTACCGACCTCACCTTACCGTCCTGCTCTCGTCCACCGGTCTACTGTCTGACGTGTTCCTTCTGAATGCAACACATGAGGCGGAGTGTTGCTGCTGAGCAACTCTCCCCTGGATTGGTGAACACTGAACAAAAACTATTTTAAAAAAGCACCAGGGAAAAGTAAACATTTATATCACAGTCCTGTCACAACGTCCAACACAGACAGAAGGGGAAAAAAGACTAATATATTTAATAATATATATATATCTACTTGAGCAGCACTGTGACTGACAAGTACAGATAAGAAGCATGAATAAGACAAAGTATGGAGGCTAATTAGTAAATGAATGCGTTCTAGCACTTCAACATTATCGAGCTCCACCTGAAGGTTTAGAAATAAAGAGGAAAGTAAATTCAAGAGAGAAACTTTTCTTATTTTATTATTTTATTATTCAAGTTGGCTGATAAACAGACATGTCTTTGGAATATGGAGCTACAGCTTAAATGATTAAACTGGAAATGGAGTTTTGGTTCAGGTAAAAAGTAAAGTTGTTCAGAGCCAGTGCTAATATATGTGAGAAGCTGATAATGAATGTGGGAGATGATGAGAGCGGATTTCCTCCCGTTTGCTGGAAAATGAGCTCGACGCAGCAAAGAGCCGACGTGTTCGTGGTAATTACACATGTGTGAGAGGTCAGGGATTATCTGATCTCTGTCCATCAAGGTTCTTCACTAATGGACAGTCAGAATTAAACTCCATCCCTCAGGAAATTCTCTGAGAAACTCTTACATTTGC